TCAATTTCAAACCCACACAACTGTGAAAAACATAGAAAATCATCTCCACATCAAAAACCCAACACAACTGTACTCTATATATTATATATCTATATATATTCCTTTTTGCCCACTCATAAAATCTGGCTGGATCTTCTCACACAATCGCATCACCAACAACAGCGATCCAGGTACAACAAAACCAAGCGGAGCCCCTCATTACAAGCTCGTAATAATTGTGTTATATTGATCCAATAACTAACTAATACACTACACACAAAAAACATTTTGATCAATGCCCTATTCACATTAATATATAACATATTTCGGGCACCCAGCTCGAGGTGGTGGTGCCATGAGATAGCACAGCTAGCAACACACCGCAACTCTCATCACTCAAACTACAAATCCTAGTGACCAACATGAGCTACCCACTATACAGACACGCTTACCACACCAAGCACCATCCCGTCAAACACAGAAGCTTAAATATCTCACTCAAACACATCCATTCTCGCGCCATGTGTCGTGTCCCTACTAACGGTAGTACAAACGCGAGCACATTTCCCATCCAAAAATAACGGACAGATTGCACAATCTGTGCAGCTTATCAGTTCTAGGCTACTAGGAGTGTTGCATTCACAGTCTACACTACGCTGTAGGAATTTTTATTTTTTTTTAATTAATTAATGAATTCATTTTTTGCGTTTTCTCTGTGTTTCTGCCAGGACCACAGGCAGGGCCACTCGCAGGTTGCTTCTGGGCCGCATTTGGCCCGCGGGCCGCCATTTAAATAGGCTTGCTCTCCAGTCTCTGAAACTAAACATTTTTTGTTATTTGTTTTCATATGAATTCTGTTTGATAAGCTCGGCAGAGCTGAGCTATGTAATAAGGTGGTGACATATGGTTACAAGCAGCGTTATTATAGTTAAAACTAAACTAAAAACTAAAACCAAATGTGGAAAAAAAAACTAGTTAAATGAAATAAAATAAAAATAAAAATAAAGAACTTCACTTAAAAAAATATCACTGAAATGATTTTGTGAATTTGGAAAACTAACTAAGATAAAAATCAAAATATGGAGCATTTTAATCATGTCCCTACATCCTCCATACAATAATAACTAAAAACATTAGATCACCATGTTGCATGTAATGATGTGTCTCTGTAACTATTGTTGATCTGATAATGAATTTATCCTCTCTGTTCTTATTTCCTGCTGCTCTTTGTCTTTTCACTCTGCTTTCTGTAAATATATAAAGTTCTACATAAATAAAGCTGATATAAGAGAGCAGTGATGTGGAGAGGACTACAGCTCCATTACTATCCAGTCTAGCTTTGTTTCTGAGGAAATGTTCAGGACCTCACCTTTCTGAACTGAATGATATAATTATATAATTATTATAATGATATATTTATATCTAAACTTTGTATCACTTAATTCTTGTTATATTGTTCTTTATGTAAAGGGGATTCCCCATAATATTGCCATCAATAACAACAGTATACATGTAATAACATACATCTGGTATGTTAGCCATCTTTATGAGCTGTCATTAAGCCCTCTATACACAATTTTAATGTGTATATTTGTGTGTGTCTGTGTTTATTCTTTCTTGTGACAGGTACAACATTGAAGAAATGTATGCAGTGGCCGCAAGTGTTCCGAAGGATGAAGACCAAGTTTCTTATGACTTCACAAAGGTGACGCCAAACCAACAGACAGAATTGAATGATGGCATCCTCAGGTCTCCTAGACTTGTGGTAGCCACAAGGAAAAAAGTCTACAATAAAAATGGGGACTGTCTATATACTGAACATGCAGAGTGGCGTGTTCTTCAGAATCTTAATCTTGAAGGTCAGGATGGTGATTTGTTGGTCTTCTTCTCTCATGCCAGTCCATGTGCCGAAAAGTGTGCAGATCCAGATGGAAAATACAGGATCACTGATCAGCTCCTACGTCTCTTTAATGGACGTGAGTGGGGTGCAAAGGCGTTTGTATTTAACGTTTTATTCAGGCCACCTAGGCAGGACATTAATCCAGACAGGATAAATTTTGCCCTGACAAATATTGGAATAGCCATTGATCACGAAAACTTATTTCGCTGTAACGAAACTAATAATGGCGATTTCCATTGCATCAAATGCTTTAATGGTAGTCAGATAAACCCAAATGCCTACAAAAGGAGCTGGAACAGGAAGCTCCAGGCGGTGCACCGTTGGTCAGATGAACAGTCAAAGTCTACCCAAATCATCAACCACATGGTCCTGGATACGATACACCCCCTCCAGTTTGCATACCGCCCCAATCGATCAGTTGATGACGCAACAGCATTTGCCCTGCACCACAGGGCATTAGCATTAGCCCTGCACCACACTCTGCAACATCTGAAGAGTAGCAGCACGTATGTCAGGATGCTCTTCCTGGACTACAGCTCTGCTTTCAACACCATCCGCCCGGGCAAGCTGATCGAGAAACTGAGTGATGTCAACATCCCAACTCTCACTTGCAACTGGATCCTGGACTATTTGACAGAGAGACCACAGGTGGTGAGAATTGGAGGACGCGTGTCTGCTGAGCTCACTATCAGCACTGGATCTCCACAGGGCTGCTGCCTCAGCCCTAAACTCTTCACCCTGTACACCCATGACTGTGTCTCCACCCAGGAAAACGCCATCATCATCAAATACGCTAACAACACCACCATCCTGGGGCTCATCAACAGGGGGTACGAGTCTGGGTACAGAACTCTACACTGTTCCAAAAAATATTAATGTCAAACTATCTTACTGTATATTTTACAGTTTTGTACTGTCTTTCTAGGATATCATTAAATTTACATAAGTAGACTGTGATCTTACATGTCAAAGGTAAAATAACGTAACAGCTCTGTAAATATAGTAAAACACAATTTACTTGTTTTTTAAATATATATATTTTTTGTACATATGCATATTTAGATTGTAAAAATACATCCAGAAATGTATCATAATTTCACGAATATTTGTCTGTTATGTGAGAGAATGATCTGTTAAATTCAAATGTAATACTATGGAAAAATATATAAAATGAGGGTATTTGAATTATAATTGTGCTGAAAATTTCATGTCACCTAGGTCTGATTCAATAATTCAGAGGTAACAAGTGAAAATATAATTAATAGGAATAAAAACTAAAAAAAATCATATTGTGGCATGTTGGGGGAACAGCTAGTTCTCTCCCATCATGCCTTGAGACATGTGCTGCTGTTTAGATGTTCTTGTTTTATTGTTTATGGTTACGTTACTTTTAACTGTTATCTTGAATGTTGTGTTTACGCCGTGGTGCAGCGTCACTGACAGCTGTTGTTTTGTAGAGAGAGTGCTGTACCATGAGTGACTTCTTGTTGTGCTGTTGTTCAAGCTTGAGGCACATCGTAGCAACAGCAAGTGTTTTAATAAAGAGCGCTCCCTATCAGCTTGGGGTTGAATAACAAGTTCAACCTGTCTCTGTAAGCTTCTTTGTTAAGATTCCTTTGTATGCCACAATGTGCTAATTATAAATTTTGAACAAAGAAATGTAGAGTTAGGAATTGCAATTAATATAAATCTCAGGACAGAAATAGGCCTCTGCACCTGGGGTGAGGGTGTGGCCATGAAAGCAATGTAACATTCCATTGGATGTTGGGACACATAATAACATGACGCAAAGCATCGGCCAATGAATGTGAAATAACAACAACCAGGTCGCGGGTAGGGCTGCGACCTTAGGAAAAAATCCTAATATGAAGGTATATTTTACTGTGCATTTTACAGTAATGTTCTGTTCTTCTAGAATATCATTAAAGTTACGTAGACTTTGACTTCACATTTCAAATGTAAATTAACGTTAAATCACTGTAATGTAATGAAACATAATTTTCATGATTATTAAATGTATCTGTCTGTGCATATGCATATTTAGATTGTTAAAATACATTCACAAATGTATCACGGTTTCACAAATATCTGTCCGTTATTTGAAAGATTGAACTGTTGAATTCAAATGTAATGCCATGGAAAAGCATATAACATGGTCCCTATAAGCTTGTGTTACATCACATAAGTGTTGTTCTCGTTGCTAGTTAGGGCGATCGTGGCTCAAGAGTTAGCAGAGGGTTGTGATCAGAAGGTTGCCGGTTCGCGCCCCGGCTCGGACACTCTCCGTCGTTGTGTCCGTGGTCAAGACACTTCACCTACTGGCGATGGCCAGTACAGTACAGTAGTGCAATTCATCCTGATCGGTGATTGGTCTAGAGTGAAAGGAGAGGCTTATGATTGGTGGAAAATGTGCAATGAAGAAGCCTTCTTTTATTCAGTCTGTCTGTTTTTTCTTTATCAGGTGATGTTTCCAGCTCTGGTGCGATATGACAGCCTCGCCTCTGTCAGTCTGTCCCAGGGCATGCAATCCATTATTATTTAAACCAACGGTTAACTGTATATTTCTTTTTTAAGATGTTTTTTTTCCTATTTATAGATGATTTCATTGTTTAATCACATTAACATGTTCATGATTTAATGTTTAGCGGCACTTGAAAAAGGCGCGATCCCATGTCAAATTAGCGCAACTAATTGTATTTTCATTACTGGAAATGACCGTCTTATTTTGGTGCCCCAGCTGCCGGAATATTACCGTTGTTTTAGGATGTTTTTTAACAGTGTAGTAGACAACGTTCTTGTCTATGGTGAGGAAAACGACCTCATCCTCAACACGGACAAGACCAAGGAATTAATACTGGACTTTAGAATAGACAGAATAGACAGTAGCCAGTAACAGTCTTTTACACATATGTAAACTGCTCAGAAGAACACAGAAATAATTATTCCTTCTTGATGAAAATGCATCACTGCGTTTCTTTGCAGGTCTGAATTTATTTGATGTTTCTTTAAAAAGTGTCTGTCAGACACAGCATTTTATTCAAAGACACAAACACTGCTCTGCTGCTCAGCAGCTTGAAAGTTGACACGTCATCAGCTGAAGTTGTTGCAGATTTGAGCTACACTGTGTATTTTAACACACGATGGCAGCTCTGCCACAAAATTGTTGTAAAGTAAGAACAACCGAGAGAAGGCTGCAAAAACAACACAAGAGTCAGAGAAGGAGGACAGTGGAAATTTCACTTTGAGCTCTGTTTGCATGTTTTTATTTGATCTGCTTGTGCTGGAATAATAGAAACACTCTGAGAGTGCAAACCTCCACCGAGGCCGCTCAGTCTCTGGGCAGTATAGGGAAACATGACAGAGTAGAAGTATGTAATGAATAATAGGTATTGATTTATAAATACTACAGTATATTTTTAAATAACTAGGCAGCTTATTCTTCTTCTCCTGACAATACTTTCTTTCTTTAAATCTTTAAGACATTTGGGGTCAACATAAAAGAAAGGCAGGTTTGAAATGTAAAATTGAGGCCAGAGGTCAAATGTGACATGATATTTTCTATTTATTGACAACACACAAACTTATAAAAGTCATAGTTTCTAAGTTATAAGGCTTTTTGTCAGTTGTTGCATATAAATCTTTACGTTGACATGAAGCATACGCTGGATGTAAGACAAACTTTGATGGATTGTTAACATGACACCACTCGACACCCCACAAAGTTTAATCAGGACTCATTCACAGCTTTTCAAGTTATTGTGTTTAGAGTCACAATGACTTACATCTATGCAAACACACAGACACAAAATATAATTATCACTCCTACATTTAAGTATGTATAACACTGTAAACAGATAAAAGTGGAGTCATTGTGGTAATGACAAGTAAGAATGATGTTGTGAAACTGTGAAAATACATTTCTCAGCAGAAGTAAAGCTGCCTTTAAGAGTCTCCAAAAAAGTTGACACTTCAATGCTTTCCCCTAGAAATGTTTTTAGGCATTTCTAGGTTTCATGTCTTGCAAAAGGCTTAAATTAAATTAAAAGGCTTAATGTATTACAAAAACATTAAGCCTTTTAAAACAGGACAACAGTGTGTTCACCTGCAATGTTGACAGATAAAGTACATTTTGTTATCTCTTCGTCCAGCTTGAAGGACTTTTTGGTTTTTTACTTACCATTAGCAAACATTAATCTACGTATATTTGCTGGGTTTTTTAACAGGTTCAGATGAAACCCAGGTGATGTTCACAAAGGGCTATATAATTTAATTATTCTTAAAATATTAAACACACATAAAGTGAGTTAAAGAGGAAGAAACATTACTCATGACTGCATGATTGTGTGGTTTAACACAAAGAAATAGAGAAGAGGAAGAGTTTACTGTGTACCACAACAACACTGATCTCAATCTGTGATGTTCCAGATGTGTCTTTCTGCAGAAAAGGGTAAGAGGAGAGAGACTGCAGCATTACAAAAGCAATATGTAAAAGATGCCGGCTGTGAAAGTCCAGTACAAAGTTATAGTTTATTCTATGAATACAAAAAAATGAACAAATGAAAAAGCATAAACCTGCCCCAGCCTCACTCTTCATAGCCCGAGGATAAAATGTTTAACAAACCAAGTCATACTGAGAAGCCAGCTGTGTGCCATTTTGGAAAGGTCCAGAGCCAAAACCTTTTACTAACTGAGAGAACCATCACACAGATGCTACCGCTCCAAATCTCAAATTTTTTTGACGTGATTTATGTATTTAATGTCTTATTTATATTTTACATTTGACTAAACCCAATCCTAAACAAATACCAGCTCACAGAAAACCAAAATATTGACGTAAATGTGTTTCATAAGTCATAATGAATATGAGCTGCAGGTCAGTATTTAATGCAGTGGTAGAACTACATCAGTCAGTTTTATTTTGCTGCTCAATCATACTAGCTTCTGTGTCTTCACTTCATCACTTCCTCTTCAGCTTTTTTAGTTTCCCTGTTAAATTTTGCATTTAGTATTTTAGTCTCTCAAAAATGTTTTTTCACTGAGTAACAAAAGTTTAAGACCACTTGAAAAATTGCAAAAAATCATCTTTTGCATGGTTGGATTTTTTTGAGCTTGCAATTTATTGAAAACAACTCTTAAACTGAAACAGGATGTTAAACAGCTGTTACGTCCCGGTCTAGGGGTACAGGAGGACAACATAGGGGTTAAAAGGAAAGTGGCCGGACCTTTGATTCCCCAAAGCCATATCCAGAAGGCAATTTACAGGTTAAGGTGCTACCAAAAACTGAAAGCTTTATCTCCGGGGTGACCAAAGGCCAAAATAACAAACAAAGCTATTTCAAAAAGGGAGGTGCTACCTAAACCCTGTGTGAAACAAAAGGTAAACAAAAGACAAGCACTACCCCTAACTCTATAATTAAATAAACAAGAGAAAAAAGTAGAGAAAATAATAAGGCAGTTCACCCCTTCTGCTTTAGTGCCTATAAGTGAAAGTATCTCCACACTATATTCAAAGATTAATGAGTCTCTAAAGACACACGGAAAATTTCATCACAGTTGGTTTGGAGGCCAAGGACGGGTCTGCTGCTGCTGCCAGTTGCTGCCAGGGAATAACTGCTGGAGAGCGTTTTTAAAACAGCCACTTGATGATGGGAACCAATCAGCAGCTGCCAGCTCTCCAATCAGGAAGGACCTGCAGAGACTCTTAAAGGCACAGAACACACTCGGAACAAAATGCAGCCACTGTGATCCAAAACATGACCAGGGTCGTAACACAGCTGATCAAACATTTAGGACCACATGCCTTTAAAAGGCCAAATCTGTGCAAAAATGTGTATTAATTGTCATTTTCTGACAGGTAATCACACTGTCATGATGTTCTGATGGCAAAGACAAAAACCTTTCACTTTTTGAACGTGGTCGGGTTATTGAACTGCATAAGCAAGGTCTCTAGCTGCTGAGGTGGGATGCAGTAAGACAATTCATTTGGAATTTCTTTCACTATGGGCCCATGTCCTCATTTTAAGTTGGACAGCGTTTTAGTAGGTAAAAGTGAATGCTTTGACATGAATTAAGCTGCAGTTTGGCTAAGGCCTTGAAGGGGTCTGGCGATGGCTCCCGGGCTTGGCAGATCCCCATGCACTAAATAGGAGTGAAGAAGTTGAAGAATGGAAAACAAGGAGGGAGGGAGGGTGGGGCATGTAAACAAGAATGATCAGATTGCAGAACTAGGGGAACCTATATAAATGGCACCCGGAAGGAGCGTGTTTGGAGGCGTGGTCCTGCTCCTGAAATTCAGATACATGATCTCCAATAAATGATCCTGAGGGTTATGCAACTAAAAAGTCAAGTGGAAGACCCCAAAAATTTCACCAGCACTGAGCCGGAGGATCCAAGTAGCTGTCTGTCAAGACACTGAACAATCCTCAACCCAAATTAAAGCCGTTACTGGTGCAGACTGCAGCCCCATAACTATCATCTGAGACTGAAGGGCTTCAAAAACAAAAAACATCTTCACAGGCCTCGTCTCCTTGAACTCCACAGAACTGACCATTTGGACTTTGGAAGAGAGCACCAAACATGGGACATTGAAAGGTGGAAGAAAGTTTTGTTCTCTGATGAGAAAAAATGTAACCTTGATGGTCCTGATGGTTTCCAATGTTACGGCATGACAAGCAGATCCCACTTGAGATGTTTTCTACGTGCCAGAGTGGAACATAATGGTCTGGGCTGCTTTTTCTTTCATGGAAACAATTGAGCTTCCGGAGGTGCATGGTCGTCTAACGGCCGCTGACTATGTCCAGATGTTGCAGAGAGGATCTCTCATGACTGAGGGCCTTCATCTGTGTGGTTTTTCAACAGGACAACACTACAGTACACAATCCCCGCAGGACAAGGGACTTCTTCCAGGAGAATAACATCAGTCTTTTGGACCATCCTGCGTGTTCCCCTGATCTAAATCCAATTGAGAACCTTTGGGGATGGATAGCAAGGGATGTTTACAACAGTTGGACACTTTGAGACACTTGGAGATATGTTCACACTCACTTCATGGAAACACTTGGCTCAAGCGGTGCCGCAACAATTTTTTGAAGTGATCAACAATAATGGTGGAGCTATTCATTGCTGAGTTTTTTACAGGTTGTTTTTTTGTTTTTTTTTAGGTATGACTTTAAATTTTTGATCAGCTGTAAAACAGTCTGTTTAAATTTAAGCAAGGTTTGCATGCTCAAAAAATGTTGTGTCTCACTCCCATCTCTTCTAGTTGCATGTTGAAGCTCGACTTGGAACCTTGTTAAGATCTAACTGTCATGGTCCCCGTGCCTGCCCAGCCGGCCTCACAAGGCTACACTTGTGTTTTTGCTTTCTCTCTCTCTCTCCCCTAC